ACCAGACAGGATGTTTTGCACAACACCAGTTTTCACCCCAAGGTTTTGAGGACATGTTCTATTCAGCTGTCTGTAAACTTAAGCCCCATCTACAGCCTGACACTGAAACAGGAGAAGAAACCAGTGCTGTGAAACTCATCCTGGTTTTTACACTGAAAAAGTCACAAGCATCTCAGTTTAGCAACTATCAACTGTTACATCACAGCTGATGAAAGTTGAGTCATTTCTCCTTACTTTTGATTCATAGCACTGTAATATAAACTGGATCACACAATGGTTCATGCGTGATAATAAATTGGTACAATACAGTCACTCTACCCTAAATATGTTGTCAGAGACTGGGTGGGTATTAAAAGGTAAATAGGATTATAAATTGTATCAATAATGCAAAATATTGTATCAACTATTGTAACTGAATTCCTTGGAAATGTTAAATACAGAGTTAAAAAGTTTTGTATTTACTAATTAGATTGTGTAAAACGTCATTCTGACTTAACTCTGCTTTTAAGTCAGTTTAGTTTTAGGTTGTTTCCAAAGTGGATTTTCTTGTTTCAGTTTAGTTTTTATTGTTTGAAATGTTTTTGTTTTACTTTATTAGTTTCTGTGTTTATTTTGTTCTTTATCATTTATTATTTATTATTAGTTTTATTATTGGATGAAGAGTTCAGTACAGCCATTACGTCTTGAAAACAGTTGACTGCAGTCTTTTAGCTAAAGTCTCAATGAACACATTTAAAGCCTCATTAGGGAAGTTGTGATTAAATCCTTACCAAACTAACAGATGGTAAAACTAAAAATATTCCCTATATTTATTTTTTATTTTATTTTGCTTTTTTAGTTCTCTAATCTTACAAAATGGTTTCAGTTAATTACATTTTCAGAAATGTCAAAAGTCTAGTCTAGTTCTTATTTTTATTTTAGTTAATTAATATGTTTTTTCACATTACAAGTTTATTCACATAAAAAAAAAAATCATTATTATGATTACTGGTGGCCATTTTGAAAAGAAAACTTAAATGAAAGACCAATTAACTAGTGCAAATGAAAGAGCCAGTGTGACACGCGCACACACACACACACACACACACACACAGTGCAAGGACTTTTTTAGTCTTAAGATGTTCACTGTTCATCGACCTGCAATTCACTTTTTCTTTAAATTGAAGTATCTGAGAGGAAACAACTTTGAGACAGCAAAAATCACTTTAAAAAAATTCAATGAATGTAAATATCCTGAGTGACGCAAGCGTTAATTTGAATGCTGCTGTTGGACTTTAACACCTGTGGCAGACTTTAAATTCTGCCGCTGCTGCAGTTCACGAACAGAATTTCACTTTGCATTTGGATGCGTTTTTCATAACAGCTTGCCAGTTCATGAGAACGTGAGTACTAATTACATTTATTTAAGTTATTTATTAGCACACATAACCTCATTCTGAGTGGTTCTCTGGCAAGTGGAAGGATATTAACAAAATAAAGGGATTTTTGCCTTCCAGTAGAACTGCTAACGAGCTGGATCTGGAATTTGGGTGCGCTTCAGGTTTGGTGGTGGGTTGTTGGATCCACTGCCAGTAGTCCAGTGGATCACTCCTCAGGCAAATCCTTCGCTCCACACTCAGCCGAGTCTACCACACTTGATCTGCCGGCCAGCACTGCAAATTTACCTCTCAGCCAATCATATGCCAACTTGGCCTGACCTGGCTCCATGTCTTTGGGCCAAGTGTTTTTGTTCTGGCACGCAATGTTAGGCTCACAACAGATAAAATGTTGTTATCTGTAGCTTTAGCTGAGAACAGTCTGAACCGATTACAACAGCGTGACTCTTAGTGAAAGACTCAGGGTTTCAAATGGACCTGCCAGGAGTCCAGACTTATCACCCAAAGCAATGCAAAAAATGGCGAGGAGATGCCAAACTATCTGGCAGCAGAAACCCTTTCAGAAAATATGACAAAACCAACTAGTGAACAAAAAATATTTGGATTTCAAAACTCAAAAACAAAGAGTGCTATTGAAAGATGAGGTGATGCAACACAATGCTGCATGTGCTGTCCATAATTTTTTAACACGTGTTTCTGGCATGAAAGTAAATTTTATATTTTTTTACATAAAACATTTCTCAATCTTTTAAATATGGTACATTTACTATTTTCAGTTAAGCATAGAGTTTAAATGGTATTCACTCTGCTTTCATTAAATTGTACACAGCTTCCCAGCTGTTTTGGAAATGGATTTGAACTATTGTTACAAATACAGTGAAAAGATTAAAATATTTTTTCATATACAGGATAATATGTTTAAATTGAGCTTAAGCTTAGTTTGGTTTCAGCACACCCTTTTTCATCTATAACAGCTTCAACTCTTCTAGGAAGACTTTCCACCATGTTTGAAGTGCTTTTATGGTCATTTATATCCAATCTTCCAGAAATGCATTTGTCAGACACCGACTTGCAGTATCTGCTCTAATTCAACCCAAAGATGTTTTATCAGAAAAATAATCCCACAAATTTCAACTTTAGTATATTTCATAGATATGCATTTTTGGGTACAAAACTAAAGTTACGAAATATGTGTTGCTGTCTAAAAGAAAATATGGAGCTAAATGAAAATCCTTCTCTCTCCCACCTTTCAGTCTGTGACTGCAGCCATGCTCTTCTTTTCAACCCCACCTCCTCTCTGCCTGATCCTCCTTCTGTCATACATCTCCCCTGTTCTCTCCTGTCAAACTGGGAACAACAGCGAGTGCGAGTCTGCTCCCTTTGTACCAGGTCACAACCTGGTGGGGGAGGGATTCGACTTGGTCACCTTGAGACGAAAAGGAGCCTATGTGGTTGATGTGAGGACCTACATGACTCCAGATGGCCACTGTACTCTCTGTACCAACCCCCTTCAAGGCAACAGGCTGCAGAAAGTAAAATAAATAATTCTGTGCAGTGAGTTAAACATGGCTTACACATAGCTTGTACTTATTAATCATGGTATTCTGTCTTCTATTTTCAGGTGCCAGTCTCTGTAGTGGACTGGCGTGCATTCAGCCAGTGCAGCACTCCGGTTGACAGCAGTGTACACGACAATGTTGGGTATAGTATTATAACATGTTCTAATTACTAAAAGACTAACAGCCTTCGTGTCTTTTATGTAACACAGACTTGTGCCTCACCATAAAAGCTGGCATCAAATTTGCCATGGACAAATAAAATAATGTAACAATATTCTTCTGGATCCTAATTTGTCTTTAATATCTTTAATAAAGTGTAAAAGCTAAATGTCCCATTAACATCCTCTGTTGATTTATGAACAGAAAATTTGATAAACTGTTTGAAGAAATCAGTAGTGAAATTTAACAGAGATCCCTTCCTTTGCATTGTATCCACAGCTCAGTGATGAAGGTATGAAACATATTACACCTATTATTGACATACAATTAATACTTTAGTCAATTAAATAATAAAACACAGCTTGCTGATTTTTTTTAATCTCCAGCATGGCACTAAAGAAAACATGAAATCTTAAATAATTCATATCTCAACATATTATATTTCACCCAATGCTAAAACGTATCTGTTGTTAAATGAAAAATATACTTTTCTTTTAATAATGTGATCAGGAATCCATGACAAATGAGATACATACAACAAAGGAACCTAGAAAAAAAAGAAGTGATTATGTTACGTTCCCCTAATTGATGTAACTTATAATGTATGTAATGCAGGCTATGCTTGATCACGATGGCCTAAATTTGAATATAGTTCTGGGTGATCGCTTGTTTGTGGGCGGAACACGTTCCGAAGCATTTAAATTTGCTGTAGCCAGGGCTGAAGAGGATCGGTACACCTTCAGTGTACATGGCATCACCTGCAAATATTATAGGTAGGCTCTGAAAATAAGTTCCTGTCAGTTAGTTTGTTTCAGTTAAGATAATTACCTAATTAGTCTCTTTGTGTCTAGTTTCCGTGTAGCAAGCAGACCACCTTTAAGCCCAGAGTTCAAGAGGGATGTGGACAATCTGCCAAGTCACTACAATTCCTACACCAGCGATCAGTATGACAGACTGATAAAAACCTATGGCACGCACTACATCCACAAGGTTAAGACACACACGCACGTGCGCACGCACACACACACGCACGCACGCACGCACACACACACGCACACACACACACACACACACACACTTTTTTTTAAAGATAACAATATTGTACCAAATTGCAGGTTTTCCTTGGGGGCCAACTAAGGAGAATCACAGCTGCACGAACCTGTTTGTCCACCCTGAACAAGCTCAACTCACATGAGGTACATGTACATGAAGCAGATGTGCCTGCCCACAGACTGCACACACTCCACTTACACACATTAGGTTACCACTGCCATGAAAGACCCGGTGCGCACAGATTTACAGTGATGGCAGTTTCATGAAAATCCTCTTTGTCTAGTCGATGATTAAACTAAATTGTTTAAATTACATTTAATCATTGTGGAATTTCACATCCAACAAATCCAACTATGAATAGTGGTGCACATTGAAAACAATGCAAGCTCAATAATAATGGATTTTAGTTCTGTATGTAATTGTTCTTTGCCCTCAGTAACCTTATTAAAATTTTTTATTCTAAATAAAGTATAAGTAGATCAGTTAGACCTTCAGTTAGATGATCTTTTCAAGACAAAATATACTGCATTCTGTCATATAACATGCTCAGTATGATGAAGGAAAAAACATCTTCTGCTATAAAACAAGATAAACTGGATCAGATCAAAACATAAATGTCTTTAATTTTCTGCATTGCTTCCTGACTGAAGAATTGTAAAATTTTATTATGTCTATAGTTAAATATCTACTATTTTACCAAAAATCTTCTTCTAGCTGCCAATGATAAGTGGTGGAGAAAACCATTATTTTAGGAAAAGCAGCAATAAAATACCAAAGTATAGCTATTAAATATACATGGCATTTGTGTTTCTCTCTTTCAGGTTCACGCCTGTTTATCGAAGGGATTTTCGGTCGGCTTGGGGAAGGAAAAATTATATAGTGTTGAACAGTCTTGTATGAAGGTCCTACAAAACCAGGATTACACTACTAGGTATGGTGCTGGTCTCCATCAACACCACACTGAGGTGATAGGAGGCAATGATTGGTCAGGGGATTTTGCCCTCAATGTTGATGACTCCGTGGGCTTCAGAAACTGGCTGAACAGCTTGAAGAATCTCCCAGATACTCTTTCGTACTCCCTTCTGGCACTGTATGAGCTGATGCCAACTGAGGCAAAAAAGGAGGGGGTAAAGACTGCCTTGAATGAGTACTTATTTGATAACATCGCGTTTTCCTTAGAAAAAAACCCAACTTGTCAGGACCTTGCTAACCTGGATACAAAGTGCTGTCCTATAAAGCATAAGAGGGGAGTACTGGTTGTGAACAAAATTCAAGCCTGGGATCTGTCGGGAGACACTTGGGGTACGTCTGACAGGTGAGTAAGCTGAGGTCAGGATCTGAAAGTTGATAGTATGTTTTTAAATTCTCAGAATACCAGGACATCTTGAGTTGTTTCCTTATCCAAAACCAGGATAATTAAATTCACAGTTTGTGTCCCTGCAGAAGGACTGGCCTGTATCCCACCTCAGTGGGCTCACATCTCATGTGCTACCCACTGCTTTGGCACGATGCTTTGCCCTAATAATATGCCCTAATAAATATAGGAAAGTACAAGGAGCATCATTTTGGTTCAGTTTCAAGAATTCAGCTACTTGAATCATTGTTAAAATCATCTGTAATATATATATATGTACTGAGATTGTAGATTACATTTGTGTAACTATAGTCACCAGGGAGAATCCTGTACTGTTTGTTAGGAACATTTGGGGCTAAAATAGATAAATGATCTACACAGCTTGAATTGGTAGTTATATCCAGTCTATGTAAGCTTGGTCAGTTTAACAAACATTTTATGAGGAGATGGCAGTTACAGTGAATTTACAGTGGTTAGACAGTGATTAGTAAGCAACAGAGCCACTTTGACTGAGCTTCTGAGAGTGAGTGGATTTAAGAAGTAGGTGACTGTTGCTGTTTGTCATGTACCTGCACAAGGAAAGTCAGTGCACACTGTGTGCTACCACTTTCCTCTTCCAGTCTGGAAAGAGATAACTTTAATTTTGTCAGCCGTTCATGTAAAGTCAGGTTGTTGAATGAAGCAATTAAAAATGTTTACATGTACAGTCACTGCAGATTTCTGTGCACAAGTCTTAGCTGTGGATCGCTGTATGTGTTCATGTGTCCTTCAAGTACGCCAGTGTCTTTAAAGTGCAAAGGTATGCAGGTTACCTGAACTATACGTTTTCTGTTGGTGCATCAAAATGGCATTTTACCCAGTGATGTTGAGGTTCCCCATTCAAGGCGATTCAGTCTTAGGTATTGATTTGGTCATCTTACCCACTCATCATTGTCTGCACCAAAGCTTCTATCGCCACATGCAAACCCACATGGAAAAGATGTATATAAATCTTCTAAAGTTTGTATCTGTCTTGTGTGAAACTTGTATGAAAAGCATACAAGAGTGAAAACAGACATAAGATCCCTTAAAAAAAATCATATAAATGAAACTTGTATACTTACTAGAACAATATATGAAAGTGGCCACTTTCATGAGTAAATCACGTAAGCCTTATATGATGTGATTCTAATTACAGTGTTCTATCGCCCACCTAAAGATAATGACTTTCCTACTTAATACTAGCTGTGTATCAAAAGATTTATTAGAATCGAGAGCATACAGACAAGATGTGAACTTTCATTATACAGAACTTTATTTAATGTGATGGATGTGCTAGAGCACAGGCACACAGCTCTTAAATGTTTGGCTCAATTTGGGAAAGGTCTTAAATTGTTTTCCACAGAAAGTCTTCTTCTGTATTTTGTTTTCATGTTTGTTAAAGCAGAAAATCCACTTTTACATAAGTATGTGGTGGCCAAAGGCATCAGTCTTGACAGCACGCTTAGCCAACGCAGGGTTTTCAGTGCACAGTACTATCCAGAAATCTGCCGACCCTGGCAACTTTCTAAAAGTTGAATGTGCTCAAAAGACCCTTTTGAGCACATTCAACTTTTAGAAACCTATCTCAGGCGATCTCAATTAGGCTATCCTGGTCACTGTAGGTCACTGATAACAAAGTAGGCATGGCCTTGAATACGTGACACATCCAGTCATTTGACCCTTCAGTTTCTGGAAAGTTATTGGCATAACTGTGCCACCAGCTCCTCAAGGTGCATGTTACAGTTGTGCTTCACACTGTGTGAGTGTGAGATAATTTAAGCACAGAAAATCATGCAGCACGGGAAAGACTTCTGTGTTGTTTGTGTCCGTTCGTTCAGACAAGAAAATGTGTAAGCCACAGATAAGCCAGGCACGTAAGGTACTCTTCATTATGCAAATCTTCAGGCAGCTCAGAGGGATAGTTACAGAAGAAAACTTTAAGTTCATCCCTCAGCTCAAAGAAATGGGTCAGCACTTTCTTGATAGCCAGTGAACCTCTCTGTGCAGTAATAAAGTCTCATGTTCCCTGCTTATTTGTTGCATTGGAGCCTGGCTTTCACAAAGTTAACCATTTTTACAGTGGTGTCCAAAACATGTTTCAGATGGACGGGTATTCAAGGACTGCCTTTTATCACCTAAGAAGCATCGCTAAAATCATACGAGTTTCATAACTTGACACTCCAGAGGTTCTTGTCCGTGCATTTGTGTCTTCACGCATTAATTATTGTAACGCTGTCCTTTCTGGGCTACCAAAGAAAAGTTTTTGACGTTTACAGATGGTACAAAATGCAGCTGCTCACATTTTAACCAAAACTGGGAAATATGAGCACATTACTCCGGTACTGAAATCTCTTACTGGGTGCCTTGTCAGGTTTAAGAAGATTTTAAGGTGCTGTTGCTCACCTACAGGGCTTTAAATGGTTTGGCACCCTCATATCTCTCTGAACTTGGCACCTCTATGTTCCTTCCCATGCTCTCCAATCTCAATACTCTGGCCTTCTAAAGTTTCCTAAAGCCAGGAGAAAAACTGTTGGGACCATGCTTTTTCTTTTTTCAAAGCTAAGTTAAAGACCCACTTGTTCACCCTATTCTACGTGTCATAATGCAGATGAATAATGGCTCAAACCATACAGCCAAAGCAACCCAGCAGTTTATTAAAGCGAAAAAGTGGAATATTCTTGAACAGCTAAGTCGGTCAAGTAATCTCAACCAAGTATTAGAAACAAATATTTTATCTTGAGTTATTTAATTTGTCCACTTACTTTTGAGCCCCTGAAATGAAGGGATTGTGTTAACAACATGCTTTAGTTTCTCACATTTTTCTGCAATCTTTTTATTCAGATACTGCATTTCAACTGCATCTCAGTTGTTTCATTTAAAGTTTATTGTGGTAATGTACAGAACCAAAAATGGAAAAAAGCTGTCTTTTTCTAAATATTTATGGATCTAACTGTACCTTGTTACCTTGCTGCTTAGCTGCTTCTTGATTGCTTTGGCAGATTTAAATTTTTTTTAACCCAAATGGTTTGTTAGCTTTCTCTTTTCTTTATCGCCTGTTCTACTCTGCCCTTTTCATGCCTGTGAACTTCTTGCACAGGATGCTTCACAATGCTAAAAGCATTTCCTTCAAGCAGTAATATTTAATCAACTTGTCCTCTTTGTTTCTTTACTTCTTCACAGCTATGTTGTATTAAAGATTGATTCCGTCAGAGGCAGGACTGAAATGATCGAGTCAAACGACCCTACTTGGACTGGTGACTATTTGCTCGGCACGGTCAGTAAACTTTTTTAAGGAAGATTAAACCTGTTTTTATATTTGTGTCTTTTTATCATATAATTATTTCTTTCTGTATATTTAATTGTCAAAAATATCTTATTGTCAGATGTCTGGGTCTATGACCCAGATATTTTAGCTTATTTTCTATTTGATTCGTTCTTTGGGTTTTAATGATTTAAGTTTTATACATTTTAGTCTTGAGTTTACTTCTTGTTGTGTCTCCAAGTTTATATTCATATTCTAGTTTATTTTGTTCTTGTCAACTAGGCCCCTTTTGTGTCTTTGTCTCTCATGAGAGTCTGTCATGTCATCTGTCTTTACGTCTCCCTGTGTGTGTGTGTTCGGGTCTCTCACTTTCTCACTCTTGGTTAGGGAATCATTTTTTAGCTTAAATAACACAATATTCATTAAATCCTGAATAAATTTTTAAATCTAAATGTATTTTGCCAGAAATGCCAGAATCTCAGGTTAAAACTCACAAAACTATTTCAACAACCACCAAACAGCTAAAACAGTGAGAGCAGGTAAACGGATTCTGCACAAAGATGTAAACACAAAGCTTGGATGCGACACATCAGAATCTGTGAAATGTCTTTTTCTCACCCAACAGACTCCTGTTTTATTTTGACAGTCACTCTTCCTGTGTTCAGTGTGAAGTGAGCTTTTGAGTCTTAAACTGTTTTGGGAACATTACAAAAATGGCTTTAAATACAGGAGAGCAGGGTGTGAAATACAGTCTGAAGTTCTTGCACTTCCTGCACCACTGAGGAATCAAGTGTAAAAACGGCAGTATTGTCATCATAGACTAGTTTTTTGGGGATGCCCATACCCAAATAATTTATAAACATAAAGAACAAAATCGGTTTAAAATAGAATCCTGTGGGCGCTTAAGAAATCAGATAAATGGTCTTTTTTATGACATCGACACACTGAATTGTATTCATAGGGAAAATTCTGAACCAAATAGCAGCCTTAGAATGAACACAAGCATTAATACGTTTATTCAGCAGCAATTAATGATCCACTGCATCCAGCACCTTAGACAGATCCACAGATAATATGGTACAATGCAATTCTGTGCTCAGAGCAGCTTGTCTCTGTCTGTGTTACCTATTTGTTTGCTGTACTGCACAAGGTTTTACTTTACAATGGGACAGCTATATTTTGGTATCACAATTCATCAAACAGACCTTCTAATTTGGGGTGTGTATGAGAGCATTCATGTGTAATTGTGCAAAGAGTATGCTTTCAAGAATCAGTGTGATTAAATATTTTGCCCTTTAGGTCTGCTCTTCTCACCATTTCTATAACCCCCAAATCTCAGCTGAATATTTAAAGTATGAGTAAATCACATCTTGTTTAAAAAATTTTTCTTATCAAGGTAAACAC